CGTTTCTCTTATTCTGCTCCTGGGTGATCTTGTCAGGGTGTAACAAGCTTTTTTTTAAAAATTGGTGCCATTAATTATTAATAAACAATTATTTTTTGATAAATATCATACTTACTGGCTACATCAAATTCAAGGTTGCATAAAATTTTTTTGGAGGGGATATTGAAAAATACGGCTCTTTAGCGCCTTAAGATATCTCTCCAGGGATGACCACAAAAAATTTCAGCCTTCTGGTATGTCCTCAGATTTATTCCAGCTTTTCCTAGGCACACAAGTGAACCACCCAGTTAGACCTCAGTAACTCCTAGAATCCCTGAATACAATTTCATGAAACCTTGCAGTTTTTCAAGATTTAATGTAGTGAGCATACCCTGAAAGTTTCTTGAAGATACCTTAAAAAAAGGAAAAGTTCGCTTTCCGGATAGCCTTCCCCCTCAATGAAGCAGTGCCAACAAGCTCAGGTTAAAACCTTTCTACAGGCAAACCTCAATAGTATGTACCCGCTTTAAACATACTAATGGTTAAAATGTAGTTGCAATGAGTCCCTGACTGAGTCTCATAGAGACTAATGCATTTACGGACCACTTAAGCCGTAGTGGTTTTCTGATGCCTACCGCTTATTGCGTACCAACTCTGTACCGCGATGACATTTTGTGCCGTAAAGGTTTAGTGCCCCGCTGAACTTGCAGATGCCACAATGTACCGCAAGCGGCCTTTCATCATTTTACAAGTGCGAACATCGGCGGATCAAGTATTCAGAGTTCTGCACAATTGCGGAGATGCCCTTGTGGGTAATGATAAAGATAAAATGAAGGAAGGTGGCAACCACTGACAAATGCGCCGGTATGACTTCGTGCCTAGGAAAAGACTTGTCACAGTAACCATCTCCAGTTATCTACTCAGGCACGCTTTCGACAGGCAACTACTTGAACGCGCTAGGCCGCTGATCTCTGCTGCCTCGTTGCGGGTCCGTGTTCAAGCGTGAACCACTTTGCAGAAACGCAAAGCGGCTCACTGTCCCGGAGTTTAGCGTTGCAGGTCATGGGCATCGAGAAACCATGCTGTATTGATGCTAACATGTGCAAGCATAGCACTGCTGTAACCATAGGCGTGTGCAGGGTTATTCTTCACAAGGGGGGGGGGGGGGGGGGATCACAGTGCCTCCTCTATTATGTCAATGTACTGGGCTGAATTTTCACCCCCCCCCCCCCTATAGATGACAACCATAGGCGTGCGCATGCCTATGGTAGTAACTATACTAGAGTGTACAAGAAGTTTTGAGTGGTGTGACCGTGCCTCGCCGCCTGATCCTTTCCGCGTTGCCTGCAGCAACGGCGCTGCAGTTAAATATTACTCAAAGAGCCGCGCACCGCATGCAGGAACTGCTATGCGCTTCAGCTCCTCCATAGTGCTTTCTTGATGCAGATTTCTTCGTGCCTGCCCATCATTCATGTCTAGCACATGATGTCATAGCCTTAGAAGTAAGACACGCCAGCCTACTGAATTTGAGCTCCATTAAAGCTCTTGCGAGAGATCGAAAATAATTCAGAAAGGGCGTGTCTTATACTGATTTCTTCTGCCTTAACTCTTTCTACGTTGGTTAGGCATCTAAAATATTCAGAAAGACTGAACCGATATAGAGAAAGTTAGCTGTGCTAGCTTACACTAAAAAACAAATTAAAAAACTGAATAAAAACAAATACTGTGTCAAACGCACGCAGTACCAGGAAGCCATAACTAAAGAGGGGAAAGGAAGGGAATCTGAACTCCCTGCACCATGAAATGTTTTTGTGATGTAACTTTTCAGAGTATAATAAAATATTTACACGCATTCACAGCGACCACTGATTGCCTAAGTGAGTTGTCCTGCTACAACCTCTTCCCCTCAAAAAAAAAAAAAAAAAGAAAATTCTGGGTAGCCTTGCGCCGAACGTTTACAGTTGGCGAAGCTGAATATAGCATGTCCCTGTACAAATGCACACTGTATATTTCACCTTTTCGACAGTATGGCATCTTGAAACTAGTTCAAGTCTAATGTAGTTGGACAAGAAATGCACCGCCTAAAAATAGTAGCTGGGCATTTCATGGATATTGTTAACGGGACGGTGACGCATGACTTAAATGCGTGCACTTGTGGATCTCTCTCTCTCTCTCTCTGTGTGTGTGTGTGTGTGCGTGTGTGCGTGTGTGTGTGTTTACTCTGTACATATACAAGTTAAATTTCTCAAAACAAGATGCACCACTGCCTGCCTACACTTTTGACACTTAATAATAGAACTACGCTTATAATACACAACATTTTCATAAATTTGCTGGCAAGAATGGCCTTACGCCAATAGAATGTTTCGAAAGCAGCACAATTTGATCTACCGGTACAAAATGAGAACTGGTTACAATGAATTCACTCAGATTAACAGACGGGCTTTATATACAATCGGCACTTTTTAATATGTTTGTGTGTTGTTTTTAATGTGTTTAATATGTAATAGGCCTTTCGGAAAGCAATAAATATTATCATCTGCAAAACTGGCATGATAAAACTGAGTCATCACTGATATAAATGTTGTGACAATGTTACTTATACTCGATTTTCTCGTGAAAAAATCGAGTGCATGCAAGTTCATATGAAGAACACTATGCTGTGGATATCGTAGAGACTGCCAACAAAATGAGCGTATGATTTAATCGCAGTTTTGATACTTCTCCTCTCTTTGTAGTTCACCAGTAGCCACCTTTGATGTAGCGCAGCTCAAAGCGTTGCTTGAGTGAGAACGACGATAGTTATAGCGCGAGAACAAAACGACGATAAAGAGACAAGAAGGACACGAAAGACACTCCTTCTTGTCTCTTTGTCGTCGTTTTGTTCTCGCGCTATAACTATCGTCATGCCATACCAACTAGCCCATGCTGCCACACCTTTGAGTGAGAAGCTAGGTGGATCCATGCCAATTCCGGTTGACATTTTTTTTTCTTTCTTGTGGGTCGGCAGGCTCTTGAAACAGTGAATGTATCGACACAGTTTTGGCACACCTGCATATTCACTCGTGCACCGTAGTGCTTAGTAGGTGAGCATACACCGATAAAGACTCAGAAACACATTAAACGTGCTAAAAACGAGCAATTACACACTTTGGCAAGCTACGGCACACGCGCTACCAATGCAGACACTCCTGAGACCTTCAGTACCATGGAACTACAGTGCCACCGCTACTGTCACCCACCGGAGAATCAGCCGAGATGCGGTGCGGCTGCCTCGTTCATCCCACTGCCCCCTTTTAGTACACTGTAAAAATACCGCACGTTTTTCTTAAGCACCAGCCCAAACATATCTCTGTCCTCTACCAGAACAGCTGGAGCATCACGGAGTGCGCATGGCTTGCAGAAAACTCTTCATTGCCATGTTAATTAACCCAGCAGGCTACTCACCGTATCTGTACTTGCTATAGCAAGCAGATTGGCAGTCAAAATGTGCACCTAGTAGGCGATCCCTGCCTGCAATTAGCCAGCAGACGATTTGGCTCTCTGCGATCGTACCGTGTTTTAAAAAAACTGCGTCAGTTCTTGCTCAGAAGCACACCACAGAACACATATACCCTGGACAGATGATTATGCTCATTCTGTCACTATACCATGCGGCGTATCCCAGACCCCAAAGTAGTTTTGAAATGGTCCTTGGCGTCGCCCCTGCGTGTTATCAGAAGAATGCACGAGAGTGACAGAATCTTTTCTGCACTTTGGCAAAACAAAAGAAATTGCTTTGCGGTGGGCATTTCAGGCAACATTTGCTTTGGCTCTGTACTTATTCCTTTGGTGGTGAGAATGGTGCACGTCAGGTGATGCGAATTTGTAGCTGGAGATTAATGTGTAGTAGGTTTAGTATTAAGGAGGTTTCACTGTATAATCATGCAACTATGTACCTACTTGCACTAGAAAGCACTGCCGAATAAAAGGTTCACTGGCAAGTGCTCACAACAACAGCTAGGCGCACTGCTAAAAAAAGAGTGTATGGACGCTTTTTCAATGATGCATCAACTTCAACAATGATTAGTGCTTATTCTGTACTAACATAATAATTATTGGGGCTTAATGTCCCAAAACCACAATATAATAAGAGGAAAATTTTGACCATCTGTTATTCTTTAACATGAGCCTACATTTAAGCACACGGACCTCAAACATTTTTGTCTCTATCGATACTGCGGGCACCATGGCCAGGATTCGATTCTGTGACTTGCAGGTCAGCAGTGCACCACCATTATCACTAGATCACCATGACAGATATGCTGCACTAACATGGCAAGGACATGACGTCACGGGAGGGGCATGAAAAATCAAATCATAGCCTATCCCCTATTTCTGTCACCAGTGAGCCTGTTTGAGGGTGCTGCTTTTTTTGTGTGTGTGAGTGGGCTCATAATAATGTGCAAAGGCTTTGCCAAGCTTAAGTTTTATACAACAGAAATCTACTTCTGGCAAATAGAGAATGATAATGCATAGTACTGAAAGTATCTTGTTGCGTTCTTTGGTGCATGATTTATGAGAAGGCATGTGCAAGCAAGTGTGCTCATTTCTTCTCCACTTTGCACACTGCTGTCCCTTGCACAAGTTTTTTCATTGTGTTTCTCTTGTTTCTCTCTTATCGTGTTTCTCTTATCTTACCATAAAGTTAGTGCTGTGTAATAATACTTGGAACTTATTTGAAGAAACACTGCTTCTTCATTGAGTGCTCCTTCTAAAAGGTTAGGAAATGTATGAACACGCTGAATTTTTTTTAAACCATTCTGCAACACGTATAGGACATACCAGCACTTTCCCTTTACAATATTGCCCTAGTCAAGCAGTTAAGATTACGTGTGCTCAGATTTGGGTGCACATTAAAGAACCCCAAATGGTCGAAATTTCCAGAGCCCTCCACTACGGCGCCTCTCATAATCATAGGGTGTTTTTGGTACGTTAAACACCCACATATCAAGTATCACCAAGTAAAGATTCATTCAGACCTGGCCACAGCTGCACTTCTCTCGATGACGCCGGCCTTGCTCGGAACCTTGCACTGGAAGCTAGCTTGCTGTAAACGCTCTTGCAGGCTAGCTTCAGACAGTGGTGCAGCAACTGTAGCAAAGCCCATATCAGGGTGTTGGAGCAATGACTTGAGTTGCAGGGCAGCTTTGGGTGGTAGCAACTGAGGAATGAATGGCAAACCTGCAAAGAGCCAACCAGGCCAGCTGAGATCTCAATCTAATAGGAGCCAGCAGCTTACCTGCACTCATGTTAATGAAACAAAAACCTCGGTATAACAAATTTGGTAAAATCAGAAACTTGGTTTGTTAAGGGGAGATGCTACTCGAAAAACGATTTTCTTTAATAAGAGTCTGAATTTAACACAAATTGGCATGCTAATAGAGTTTTTTCTCCTCTTTTCAAATATGTAATTTATTTTCATGTAGATTGCTTGGTTTTCTTTCTGCAAGTCAGATACTGCAAAATTATGGCCATTGTTATGCAACAATTATGACCTATAAAAATTTGAGATAAAGCATGCAGATATAGCTGACTATGATCCTTTGGAACTGTAGAGTGCAAAAAACTATATAAATTTTGTGTGTAAAAAGGTGAAATACAATAATAAAATAGAAAAGTTTACTATGGCTCTAGTTGCCAAGGGCTTTGAATGTTATGTAATTTTTGAAAAACATAATCAAGCAGCACTGACAATCTGAATAGATACTTGCACTCTGCGGGCCTTCATCATGCTATGTGCAAAATTTCATAGAGGTATGACAATTCTAAGTATACGAACTAGCGTGTATAAGAAGCACAGATCACACAAAACTGCAAAAGGAGAAAAACGCATTTGAAAGCTTGAAACCTTTTTTTTTTATCACAGAGGTGTTAGAAATGCATAACCTTTGGCCATAATGTTCAACAGAACTTTGAAAAGCACTGCAAGTTACTAGAACTGTCCTGCAGCATAGGTTGTGCCCTCACGGTCCTTGCGAGCACTCTCTTCTAGCCGTGCCCTTTTCACTCCACGATGACGGTGGGCCCTTGCTTCTGCTGTCAGACGCTCGGACATTCTCTTGATGCGCCTCGCATCGCGGGAATCACTGAAAGTAACTAGATCTCTAGATGGCAGTACGTTGAGCTCTTCCAGGATGTGCTCGAAAGTAGCATGACCCTTGTTGAACCACAGGATTGCCATAGCTCCGGCAGTCTCGACAACCGTTCGGGAGACAAACTTAGTCTTGGCGCAAAGTAGCCAAATTTTGCTATTCAGGGATTCCGATGCATTCTGAGTTTTCCCTTTGATGCATCGAGCAAGGAGCTTCTCATCCGTTAGCCGCTTATAAATGGGCAAAACAGCCAATTCCTGTGCTTTTGTCAGGAGAGGTGTGTGGCGTGGTGCAGGTTCACCAAGTGCTTCAGCGCAATGATGTTTGCACCACGACTCTGTTCCTGCAGGGCAAAACTTGTGGCTGCCAGCACTGTCAGTAGAGCATGAGTGGAAGTACGAAGCCCATACTGCAGTGTACATATCCCGTATACTCCCCCTGTTGCTTGTTATGGCAATCTGATAGTATGTTTGGAGCTTCTGAATGGCTGGCTCTTTCATTTTCTGCCCTCGTGGTAATGGCACATGCAGCTTCCGTAGCGCGGTGCCAAGTCTTTTGGCCACATGATTAGTGCAGTCTTCTTTTTCTATATTGACAGCACCATAGACTTTTGACTCTGCAACTGCACTATATGCTTTGCTGTCACCGTCACTCAAGAATGTCATGAAATGCAGTGGGGTGTCATAAGTCAATGTTCTCTGCCAAATGCGCATTGCAGCCTCCGTTTCCATGGCATGGGAGGAACAGTCTGCATTTTTTTCACAGACTGGGCCATGGAATGCCTGCCACCTCGTCTGGGCCCATATCCTTGTGCCTACTGCATGTCAGGCAGTAATTTGATATGACCTTGAAGTCTAAGCAGAGGCCAGTATCTAAGGAGATAACTGCGCCAATCCCGTTGTGGCTTTTGTGGCCCGTCTTCTGCCAAGTGGAGTCGAACATAACAGCCACATCAGTTTCGCCTGCTACTTCTTTCGTCAACTCTCTGGATCGGCGCAAGTTTTCACTCACAGTTGCCATGGCAGCGGTGTGCACCTTCTTTGCTATCGAAAAAAATCCTCGGTGGTGCATTGGCTTTGGGAGTCCAATAATGGAGCAAAATCTCGACAATTGCTCATGCCCAATGCCGACAGCACGTGCAGCCACCACCTCCTTCACATTTACAGCGAAACTATCTCGGGAGCTTCCACTGTCGTACCGTTGGCTCACTCTGCTGCTGCCGTCCGCCGTAACACGCAGTGACGTATAGGAGCACGAAAGAACAGTCGCTGAGCATTCGCTGTTTTCGCAATGAAGTTCGAGGAGCGACGAAAGTCCCTTGCGCTTTTCTGCCGGCTCCCGAACGGCAAGTTTTTGAATACCGCAAGCAGGGCATGCCGCACCTGCCACAAGTGCCGTCAGCAAGAGGGTGTCGCACAAAACTGTCGTTGCACAAACCTCATCGTGCTGTCTTTCGTCTTTTTCGAAGAAGCCGAGCTTCTTTTTTGAAGCACTGACGAAAGAAAGCGCAGCGTCAATTCCTTCATCGCAGCCACTGTCGCTCGCGCACTCGTCGATGCCGTCGTCAGGCCTAGCACACGTAGGCGCGTTCTCGTTCGTCGCCGTCGTTCGGGGCGCTTTACACCACCTTCCCTTGAACTTGTGCTTCGTTCGAAACTTCTGCGGTCTCACGTTGCACTTTTTCGGGCATGTCATCGCAAAAATATGCGTAGACGCGCAGAAAAGCAGACCGACCAAATGCCGATGGCCGCCACCAACACAGCTGACAATGACTCGGTAGCCAATGGCGATGCGGCTTAGGGTGCCGCGCGTTTCAAACCGCTCAAACCACGTGATAAAAAGGTCTCGTTTTTTTTTTGCCCACGTACGAAACTGGCGGTCGTCGGAGCTGTAAGAAGAAGGCCGGACGCAACTTTCTCAACCGATCGCGATGGCGGGCGGCACTGCGACGGGGAGCAGCGCGCAGTCAAAGAGGGCCAATATCGGCGCAAATTCACGAAATTTTGAGCCACCGCGATGCCTTCATACACATCTTTTTGCATTTTGCGGTTCAAATTTAGTTTTGAAATTTTCACAGATGAAAGAAGAAGGTTTGAAGATTACAATGCAATAAAAATCAGAAATACGAGAAATTTCGCTAAAAACGCGATTTTTTGACTCGCATCTCCCCTTAAAGTGAAATTTCATGACATATAAATTTGGCCTTTACATAAAATATAGTCACTTGGTCACTGAAGAAATCTTTATTATATGGAAAGTGCCATAACAATGTTCCAAAAATAATCGTCTCATACAGCAACCGTGCACTCACTAGAACTGAAACCAATTATTCTGTGACCAAACAGGGATGCCTAGCCATCATATGGGTCATAGAAAAGTTTTGACACTACCTTTACGAATGCCCATTTAGAGTGGTTGCAGGTCACCACGCATTATGCTGGCTTTTTGCTGGCCATACAGCCAACTTGCCCGTTGGGCACTACATCTCTGTGAGTAGGACTTCAACGTCGTTTACCGATCTGGACGTAAACATTATGATGCCAATGCTCTGCCCCAGTCACCTCTTCCATCTGATGATTTGTCCCCGTCTGCATCCTTTTACGACACATCTTCCCTCTCTGTCCACGACATGCGTCTGGAGCAAAAGAAAGATACCTGGGTTGCTCCTTTTATGTATCTGTTATGTAGATGTCCACCACACCTCACCTTTAGAGAACTATGTCAACAAATACATCACTTTCGTAATCAAGATGGTTTGCTGTATTGTCAAAATTACCTTTAAAAAGGGCACAAATGACTCATGGTCATTCTCCAACATTTTTGATCAGGTATATGCGCCTCCTTTCACGCCAATTCACACTGAGCACATGTGAGAGTACTGAAAATGTACACAAGCCTGCGCCACTTGCTACTATTGGCACGGAATGTACCACATTGTCCACCCCTAACTGCACTCCTGTCTCGCTTGCAAATGGCACGAGAATACGCCTCCCCATTCTTCAGCTCCTCTGCAGTCTCCACCTTATCCTTTGAAAGTGTCAGCATTTGTGTGTATGGACCTCTGCCATCACTCCTACTGGAAACCGCTATATAATTGTTGCAAGTGATATCTCATCCGCTATGCAGAAAATTCCCAACTGCCATCTGCATCGGCGAGTGATGTCGGTTCTTTTATTTTACATTACCTTGTTCTACGTGATGGCGCACTCCATGAGCTGCTCAGTGAACGAGGGCACATATTTCTGTCCAAAGCCGTCGAATCACTTCTAAAAAAATGTCGCATCATTCACCGCACCACCAATGCATACCATCATTAGACGAATGGCCTGACAGAACGATTTAACCGAACATTGAGTGATATGCTGTCAATGTGGGTTGGACTCTGCTCACTCAAACCTAGACCGTGTTCACCTTTGTGATGAACGTGCACAATACTGCGACTACAAAAACCAGAGGATTTTCCCCGTCTCTATACTTTACAGAAATGAGACTTATTGCATGTTAGACAACATCGTTCCCTGCTTTCTTGACATAACTGAGTTGACAACCATTCCCCAAGCAGCTAAATATGCAGAAGAGTGTTGCCAGTTTTCTCGATCCCTCACCACTAAGATCAACAACGCCTCAAACATCACTGCGACGGCTTGAAGGCTCCAGCATCTTATATTTCTGGTTTTCTTGTGTGGCTCTGGGTCCTTTCCACACCATCATTGAAACTTCTCCAGAAGTACCACGGCCCTTACCGTGTCATCTAGCCATCACCACCCATAACTTTATCACTGAGCCGCCAGCACTGTCTCCTGATCAACGAGCTCGTGGATGTGTGACTGTGCATCTAGACTGGCTGAATCCTAATTACGACCCTATTGTAGTCTCCTGCCCCTAAGTCCTCAAAATGGCTTTTTTTGGAGGGGATATGAAATAACGAATACCGGCACCATTTTGATAGGCAGCAGGTGTCACTCTCAGGCAGAAAGAAAATAATGTTCGGTGTTGGTGCATCGGGACACTTGCGCTTGCTCGGCTGTCCCTCGTTTACTTGTCATGATGGTACATACTATTTCTTAAATAAGTGCTGCACCGAAACGACTTGATTTAGTACAATAAATACACTGCCACTACTTTTCTGTTTTCTTGACAATGTTTCTTTTTACATTTCCTACTTCAAAGCATACTTGTTCTGATGCTGAATATTATAAGATGTTTTGGTTATGTGTCAACCAAATAGTTGGATGTGCACAAAAATAAAACATCCTGCTGATATTGCTCTTAGTTTTTGACTGGGACGTTTTTTTTTTCCTAGTGAAAATCGCCACTGCAGCTCTCTGCTACTGCACATTGTAAGAAAATTTTCAAGCACAAGAAATTTCATGCTTAATTTCTACCCATTGATTTTTGATTAAGGCCTATCACAAATCACTTTTGTGCAGTTGAGATAAAACCTACTTGTATACTTTTCTTGCATAAAAAGCAGCAACTCACGGTTGGTTTGCAGGTGATTGGAAATGGGTGATGAGCAGCTTTTCATTTCCATGTCCATGACACGTATGCAGCCATCAGAAGTAGCCACAACCAGCTTGTCAGACTTGGCCCAGTCAACATCAGTTATACCAGGCAAATCTTGAGGACAGCGCGCTTGCACAAACAGCTGCACCTACACGCAAGCATGCTCAATTTACACCCTTACACTTTGGGTAAAAAGCTATAGCATTTCATCAAACGCTTTCTGACCTCACTTGTTCAAAAATACATCTTGAAAGTGCATTAATATCTTAAAAGAACTGCTTGGTGTACATGGTTAAAACATTGCATGCATACAGACCTTGAAAAACCTGCTGCTGAAATTTTACAGTGGCAAGGTGAATTAGGAAGCCACACGATTCTACCCCACAAACGGTACGTATAAGGATCAATGCCAAAACTACAATAGCTGAAATGTTTCTACACAGCCAAACAACCTAAATTGTGGGCTTGGAATTACAGAAGATGTAGGGAGGGGTGGGGGTAGTGCAGATGAAGTGTAAGCAAAATTTCAAATGCAGAATTCGATGATTTAATAAGTTGTGCTCGAACGTATTGTTACGGGAGTAAGAGAATGAATGAAAGAAATATATTTACAAAATATACATGGAGAGTCAGAGGCAGCTGCAGCAAAGATGGAAGAACAGCAGCAACAACAACACGAGCACGGTCGCTTTCATCCTCTTCGTCGTCTATGATGCTCTTTCGTTGCCGATGTTGTGTAACATATAACCCCCCGCTGCTGACAGCGCCCTCTCGGCGCCTAAAGGAGAGTAGGGTCATATGCGGATATGTACGGTTTGAGGCGGATCACGTGGACGATGTCAGTAGCGGGTGCAGACGATGATGATTGACTGTCCAACGAAGCAATCTCGTATGTGACATCGGTAAGCTTCGAAGAGAGGCCAACGTGGCGGCATGGTGTCCAGAAGAAGACCAATGAACCTGTAGAGTAGGAAACTACTCTGTGATGGCTATCGTAGCGGGCCTTCTGAGAGAGCTGCGAGCCAAAAAGATGTTCCCTTGCGATTTGGCGGGCCACTTGAGCCTGAGCAGTGGCATCCCGGGCGTGCTCTGTAACTGTTTGCGTAGTTGATGGGAGAAGAGTCTCGAAGGGTAACGCTGGATGGCGGCCGAACAATAAATAGAAGGGGGAGAAGCCAGCGGTGTCGTGGTGTGACGAATTGTACGCGAATGTCACATAAGGCAAAGTACTATCCCAATCAAGGTGATCTTTGGAAACGTACATGGAGAGCATTGTTGTCAATGTTCGATTTAGGCGCTCGGTAAGACCATTTGTTTGTAGGTGATAGGCCGTAATGAGCTTGTCACGCGTCAAACACGAGCGAACGATGTCACTTACTACTTTTGAAAGAAATGAGCGACCACGATCAGTCAGCAGCTGTCGAGGAGCGCCATGGTGAAGAATTACGTTATGAAGCAAGAAGTCCGCGACGTCAGTGGCACAGCTTGTCGGTAGCGCTTGTGTGATAGCCTATCTCGTGGCGTAATCAGTGGCTACGGCTATCCACTTGTTTCCAGTGAGAGAAGTAGGAAATGGTCCAACGAGATTAAGACCGACGCGATAAAAGGAAACGGTGGGTATGTCTATTGGTTGGAGCGGACCAGCTGGTGGAAAGGTGGAATGTTTGGAGCGCTGGCAGGACTCACATGCAGCAACGTATCGGCGCACAGAACGGTAAAGGCCTGGCCAAAAGAATCTACGCCTCACGCGATCGTACGTGCGCGTGACCCCGAGATGTCCCGCGGTTTGGGCGTCGTGAAGCTGTTCAAGTACAGCGGAACGGAGTGTCGCAGGAACTACGAAGTAGCTCTGGTCCTTCGGCGCTGGTGTTGCGTCGGTAAAGCATGCCATCGTGTAGAACGAACAAGTGTAGCGACGGGTCTACGTGGGGCAAGCGTAGACTGCATGATAGACCGCAAGTGGACATCGCTGAGCTGTTCCTTGCGTATGTCGGCGAAAGCCGACAGCGAAGACACAAGGGTCAGAATTATGTGCTGAAAGGTCAGGTGGTTCCACAGGGTGACGGGATAGACAGTCGGCATCCTGGTGCATTAGGCCAGATTTGTATGCCACGTCGAAGCTGTATTCTTGTAGTTTCAAGGCCCAACGGCCAAGTCGTCCTGTTGGATCTTTAAGGGACGACAGCCAGCACAAGGCATGGTGATCTGTAATTACCGAAAAGGTGCGGCCAAACAAGTATGGTCGAAATTTTCCGACTGCCCAGACTAGTGCGAGGCACTCACGCTCTGTAATGGAAAACTTGCTCTCCGAAGGAGAAAGGAGGCGACTGGCATAAGCAATGACGCGATCTTGTCCTCGTTGCCGCTGGGCGAGAACAGCACCATTTCCATGTCCGCTGGCATCGGTACGAACTTCAATATGGGCTGACGAGTCGAAAAGGGCCAAGATGGGTGGGGAAGTAAGTAATGTTGTGAGGGTGCTGAAAGCAGTTGCTCGATCAGTACCCCAATAAAAAGGCATGTCCCTTTTCAGTAGCTCCGTAAATGGTCGGGCAATGTCAGGAAAATTCTTCACGAAACGTCGAAAGTAAGAACAAAGGCCGATAAAACTCCGTAGATCTTTTGCGGAACGTGGTATGGGAAAATATTTGACAACTCGAATTTTGTCAGAATCACGTTGCACGCCTCGAGCACTGACAAGGTGGCTGAGCACAAAGATTTTCCGACAGCCAAAGCGACATTTGGAAGAGTTGAGCTCAAGTCCTGCTTTCCGGAAAACCTCAAGAACAGCCGTTAGGCGGCTAAGGTGGCTTTCGAATGTAGGTGAAAATACGATGATGTCATCGAGATAGCACAGGCACGTGGTCTATTTGTATCCACGCAGGAGAGAATCCATCATTCTTTCAAATGTAGCTGGCGCATTACACAATCCGAATGGCATAACCTTGAACTGGAAAAGTCCATCCGGTGTGATGAATGCGGTTTTCTCACGATCTCGATGATCGACAAAAATCTGCCAGTATCCTGATCGCAAGTCGATAGATGAAAAGTGGGCAGACCCATGTAGGCAGTCGAGAGCATCGTCAACCCGCGGCAGTGGATACACGTCCTTACGTGTTACTTTGTTTAAGTGACAGTAGTCTATGCAGAAGCGCCAGCTGCCATCCTTCTTCTTGACTAGCACGACCGGCGATGCCCATGGACTGCAGGAAGGTTCGATGACGTCTTTTGTGAGCCTTTCTTCAACTTCGTGCTAGATAACTTGTCGCTCCGCATTAGACACGCGATAAGGACGTCGTCGGATGGGGCTGGCGTCTCCAGTGTTAATCCTATGAGTTACAAAGGGTGTCTGACGCAAAGGGCGGTCATCAAAATCAAAGATGTCGCGGTAGCATTTCAGCAGGTGCCGGATGTCAGCTGTCTGCGCTGGAAGAAGGTCCGGAGCGATCATCTTGTCGATGGTGGCATCCGCTGCGCTCTTCCAGGATAAAAACGGAGCAGAGGACGAAGAAGATTTGGCAACGAATGCCGAAATGGCAGCATCTATGAAAAAAACTTTTGCCAAAGTCATACCATCTGGGATAACTTGAGCGCACCAGCTGAAGTTTAGGATCGGAGGAGATGCTGTATTTCCCGTGACTGTCAAAAGTGTGTGAGGCACGGCAACATTTTTGGCCAGCAGAACGTCAGCAATAGGTGTCAACATATAGTCACCATTGGGAACAGGAGGGACTGATCTCAGGTTCACGTAAGGAACGGCTTGAGGTGCTAGGCGAACGTGATCTCCAGAACACAGACAGGGTTGAGCTGGTGTTGGGTCGTCATGGTAACACGGTAAATCAAGTTGAAGCATGCCGGTTCCACAATCAACAAGGGCAGAGTGGGTGAATAAAAAGTCCATGCCGAGTATAAGTTCACTGGAACATTTCTCGAGCACAGCAAATAGCACTGTCGTGGAGGGATCAGCCACACTTATACGCGCGGAGCACATTCCAAGCACGGGAAATGTGCCGCCGTTGGCGACCTGGATGAGTGGCACTGTGGGTGGCGTTAAAACTTTCCTAAGGCGGAACGAAGTTCTGAATTCATCACTGATATGTGAGCCCCTGTGTCCACCAGTGCAACAACGGGTGCGTCATCTACTTCAATGGAATAAAAAGTCCATGCCGAGTATAAGTTCACTGGAACATTTCTCGAGCACAGCAAATAGCACTGTCGTGGAGGGATCAGCCACACTTATACGCGCGGAGCACATTCCAAGCACGGGAAATGTGCCGCCGTTGGCGACCTGGATGAGTGGCACTGTGGGTGGCGTTAAAACTTTCCTAAGGCGGAACGAAGTTCTGAATTCATCACTGATATGTGAGCCCCTGTGTCCACCAGTGCAACAACGGGTGCGTCATCTACTTCAACGTCAATAAGGTTGCATTGAGTCGGCAGCATGGTCAGAGAATTTGGCGGGTAAGTGGTCGATGCAGCATCACCTCCGGGAGCTGCATCATCTAGTTTTCCCGCGGCAGGTGGTCAGACGATGGGCGATGGGAGAGCGGTGAACGGGACTGGTGAGCATGCGGAGATGGAGAGCGACGACGATATGGCGGCATAGAAGGAACGTCTTCACTGGTGACCTGAGGTGACTCCCGGTAAATTTGAAAGCGTCCATGATCCCTCTCTGGCCGATGGGGGTACCCATAGAATGCCTGATGCCAATACCACCGCGTGTTACAATGGCGGGCCACGTATCCGATACGGTGGCTGTTGAAACGAATCGGGTGATCGTCAGCAGTCCTCCACTAGGCTGGATTGCGAGGGCGCGCCGGAAGGTTTTGGCTTTGGGCATACGAAACATGGGTGTCGACGACGGTTGATCGGCTGATAGGGAGATGTAGTGCACTCGGAGGCCAGTCCAGCATTGGAAAGCTCTTGTCGCACAATGGCATGTGCCAGTGGCACCGTCTGAGGGCTAGAGTCACAGGCATGGGAGCACGTGGACGCAGGCGACAGAGCTTCAAGTTCACGTCTGATGATCTTGGTCACATGCTCTGCAGTTAACGGCGTCTATAGCGCAGGCCTGTCTTCGCACGACCAGGTTGCCGCTGTGTTTGGTAGTCGAGTGCAATTATGGGCGATACGTCGACTTTTTGCGGC